CAGGAAGTGTGTGCCCAGGGGCGAATGGCAGAGTTGTCCTGCAGGCAGGGAAACAAGATGGGGCATCCACAGATGGTGGGGTAAGACCTCTTGCCTATGGGGCACAGGCGAAAGCTAATGGAGACTGTGGACGGGGCTGGAATGACACCATCTCTTTGTGATGCCCTCTCTTTGTAAGTCGCTCCCTCCCTATTATATAAACTATGTGAAACCCAAGATAAAAATGTGTTATGCTGGTTTGGTTTGTCAACCCTCATCAGCATGAGACCCTCAGAGAGTGAGGGCAGGTCATACAGAGTGTGGGAAGGGGAAACCTTAGTGCCACAACTGTGGACAGTGCTTCCTGCACAGGAACATTTGGTAGACCACATCCAAATCATACAATATCTTCAACTTAGAGGAAGAGGAGCCCTTACACTAGGACAAGCCCAGCCCTCACACGCCTCTTCATGTGCTGTGGGCTCCCTACCCAACATCACCTTTTTTTAAAAAAAATAGGGTTTGGAACTATTTATTGCAATTCCACAGGGTCTTCTTAATTTTTTTAAAACTCTTTAATTTTTTTCCTGTACAGAAGTTTTAATGTTAATTGTACCCATGGTCTTTTGCATTAAAATTTTTTTTATTCCAAAGAGGCAATTTTTAACACATTTTCCCAGAAATAACTTGAAGCAGGTTACGTAAAAAAATATATACAATGAAGTTTAAGGGGGTGGTGGGGAACAGGAATAAGAAATCGAAGACCAAAGGATTTGACAACATCCGGTCAACTTTGGTGGAGTTATGAAGGTTTCCATTGTCTCTGGTTTGTTTGTTTGTTTGTTTTTTTTTTGAAAATCCTAATGAGTTTATTGGGCTTGCTAACAGAGCATAGGGTGGGGTACACCAACATCACCTTTTAAGGAGATATCCAGATTGGAAATCACACTTGAGCTTATCATTCCTTATCTACAGAATAGGAGACTGGAATTCCAAAGACCCCACAACCCATCCCAACTGGAAAGAAAGGCAGGAGGGGCAGATAAAAGACCCAGAGAAAGTGGAGTGGGGGGGGGACCAGGCTTGGTCCTCACTAACCCCAGAGCTTATTTCATGGCAAAAAGAACCAAATTTACCAGCTGCTGTACAGAGCCCCGCTCCATGCCAAGATTCCCAAACGGCGGTACTTCCAGGGAAAGATGAAATGGTTTGAGTGGTTTTTCTTCCTGAGGTGGAGGCAGATCCTTCTTTCTATGAGAGGATCTAGATTCCATTTTTCCCATTTAACAATAGATGATATAGCAGCAAAGACGTAGAGCGGCGCCTGACTCTGAGAACAAGACAAACTTCTCAAGTCACACAACTCAGACTATAAGAACAGACATGTATGTGCCTGCAGAGACCAGACCACAGAAAGGCCAGGAAAGCATGTTGTTACTGAACAATTAGAATTTTTTAAAGTCAAATGAAAAGAACAACTGTACCACAAGTGTAATCTATGAGTGAATATATGTTTGGACATGGTTGGCCCCCTGGACAAATGAGTTTGGGGATCCCCCTATCAACAGGTTGATGTAAGACTCCATGGAAGCAAAGCTAGTGTGACTCCATGGAAGTAACTGGTTTGAGGACTATGACTCAGCTCCCATCTCTGGACTTGAAGTAGTTCACACCAGCTGTCTATGGCAATATTGATGATCATGGTGTTCTGTGGGCTTGATGCTTTACTGCAGTGTCATTCACGCTTGTAGGGGGAACTTAAATTTGTTCAAAGTTGGGAATTAACCAAATAAATTATGATACGTATCATGAAACACTGGGCAATCATAAACACACTAAGATGTTTGATGATATGGAAAATAGAAAGTAGAAAACTCAGGATGCAAGATTGCAGAATAAGGGCTAGAGATCTAGTTCAGTGGGCAGAGTGCTTGTCTAGCATGTATGAGGCCCCTAGTTCGATCGCCCAGCACTACGTAAGTGAGGCATGATGGCTCACACCTAGAATCCCAGCTCTTGGAGGTAGAGGCAAGAGGACCAGAAGTCAAGATCAAATTTATCCTCAGCTATAGTGGGTTCAAGATCAGCCTGGGATACACAAAACCGTGTCTCATACACAAAACAATTGTAATGATAACTTGAGGTCAACTTTGGTAAAAGTTACTTTCAAAATTATTTTCATGTGTTTTTATGGGTTTAATTTTTTCCTGATTTTTTTCTTCAATATTTTGCATTGCATACATATTCTATTGTGATTCTGTATTAGCTGTTTTTCTGTTGCTGTGATAAAATACCATGACCAAAAGTGACTTATGGAAGACTTTATTTTGGTTTATGGTTCCAGAAGGATAAGAGTCCATCATGGCAGGGAGATGTGGCACAAGTGGCAGGCATGGTGGCAGGAGAAGGAACCTGAGAGCTCACATCTTCAAACGCAAACATGAAGCAGAGAGAGCAAACTGCAAGTGGGGCAAGGCTACAAACTCTCAAAGCCTGCACTCACTGACACACTTCCTCCAGCAAGGCTGCATCTCCTTCCATGACCTCCCAAACAGTACCACCAGTTGAGGACCCAGTCTTCAAATACTTGTGCCTATGGGGATCATTTCTCATTCAAACCACCACAGATTCTAAAACATAGTTTTACCTTTTTAAACATTATTATTTTTAATTTTAGTTACAGTAAAAAATAGTTTGCCAACTTAACCTTTTTAATCGTGCAATTCAACAGTTAATTACATTCATATTTTTGTGCAGTTAGTTTTTAGAATTCTTTTCATTTTATATTACTAAAATTTTATTCCAATTAAGCAAAAATTCTTTATTTCCCTCCTCCCCAGTCCCTGGCAACCACCATTCTACTTTCTTACTTCATGAATTTGACTACTGAAAGTACCTCATGTAACGGGAGTGATTTGGTATTTGTCTTTTTGCGACTGGCTTGTTTTCCTTATCACAGTCTCTTCAGGGTCATATAATACTTTTGTTTTGAAGACCAACCATAGAGTGTTCCATGATATCTTCATGATGTGCCAGTGTTTCACCGTTCTCGTTCCCTTAGACTTGCTCCAGTGTACCATGTTCCCCACATCCCCTCCAATATTTAATGTTTAGTGTTTTTATGTAGCCATTCTGAAGGATGTAAGATGGTTCTCTATTATTTACTTTTTTCTTAAGTATTGTTATAACATCATAATGATCCCAAACAATAAAATGTTTTCATTTCTTTTTAATTCTTTTGTGAATTTTCATAGTGTATGTGTTTGTGTATGTGTGCACATATGCATGTGGGTGCTCATCCAGAGGCCAGAAGTCCGTGTTGGGTGTCTTCCTTGATGGCACTATGCTTTTTTTTGGTCTTTTTGAGACATGGTCTCCCTGTAGCCCCAGCTGTCCTGGAACTCACTATGTAGACCAGGCTGGCCTTGAACTCACAGAGATCCGCCTGCCTCTACCTCCCGAGTGCTGGGATTAAAGGTGTGCGCCACCATGCCCAGCTATCTACCTTTTTTTTTTTTTTAAGATATCCCATCTGTCTTTACCCCTACTATGGCACTAGGGTTACAGGTGCACACCACCATACCTGGCTTTTCCAAGGATGCTGGGGATCCAGACTCAGGTCCTCATGCTTGCAGGACTTAGTTGAATGAGCCATCTGTCTAAGCCCTCCAAATGTCTTCATTTTCTGAAACTGGAGTGAAAATACAACTTTTCTATTTTCTGTTTTCCACTATAGAAGATGATGTAATTATTTTCAAATATAAGAATAATTGATTCAAATTTTAATTTTTAAAGCCTCTTGCCAGTCAGGTATAGCAAACTGAAGGAAGCTGTTCATTTAGCCATTTATTCACCAACACTGGGTTGCATGTGTAACTTGTGTCAGAAACCAAGCATCTCACAGAGTTGGCCCATGAATCCCACACATTTTGCCTCTGAAAAGGATGATGCAAAAGATGGGGCAGAGGAGATCAGATAGCAGACTAGATAGTCTCCAAAAGAAGCTTTCATGGGGGCAGGGGAAGAAGAGGGAATGGCAGCCTCGGCCTAGAAGAATTAGCAAATGCTCCAAAGATCAGGGGACTTGTCTTGGGGTTCAGGGAGGTTTTAGTACCTAGGAGGAAGGTAAGCCATCCTGAACACCTGTGGAAATTTTCCGTCAGCACATTTTCTGCTGAATATATGGTATAAGGTAAAACTGTCAAATTAGATGACAAGACACTAAAAAATATCAAGTTAATTAGGACTTAATGTGAAGCCCAGGACCAGGCTTCTCAGAATAAGGCATCAACCCATAAGAACTGCCAGTGACACCATGCTGCCTCTGTCCACATAGGACTTCAAAGTTTCTTGATGGTTTCTAGGCTCACACTCATGAAGAGTAATTGTAAAGGGCGCCTGGTTTTATTATCAACTCATAAAATATACTGGAACCCCAGGTCCCGCCCAGACATTCAGATTTATCTGGTTGACATGAGTTCAGGAACTGATACTTAACATTTCCAAAGCTCCCTGGTGATGTTAACATGCAGCTAGGGATGAAAATTATTGCTATGCATTCTGAGAGCATTTTTCAAAAGGAAAGTGCAAAACATTTGTTAAACAGAGACTTTCAAAGTGACCATCATTTCATCACCTAGAAAGAAAAGAACTTCCTTTCCTCTTTCTTTCCTTCCTCCTTCTTTTCCTTCCTCTTTCTTTTCTTCTTTCTTTTCTCATTATTTTTCTTTTGTGGTACTGAAAATCAAACATGGGACTCTGCACATGCTAGAAAAGCCCATTACTACTAAGCTATAATCCCAGCTAGAGAGGAAATTTGATTTTTCTGTAAAAGCATTTAAAATAGAGTAATTCAAAACTAGTATCACATATTCAGAGGAGTGATGTTATAAACCAAGTCAGAATTAATGGATAAGTTTCTACCAAACATATTTATTTTAGTTCATAGAAGACTCTAAGAAACACATTGCTACATGTCTGTGAGATGCATGGAAATAATCCATGGATCCATTATACTTTCATCAAAAAGAGAATATCTTTCTGTGGACCACTTTCCAAAGAGCCCTTTTCAAGTCCCTGTTCCTCAGGCTGTAAATGAAAGGGTTGAGCATGGGGGTCACCACTGTGTACAGCACAGTGGCTGCTGTGTCCTTCTCAGTGGCGTGTGAGGAAGAAGGATTGAAATACACAGCGATGATGGTGCCATAGAAGAGGCAGACCACAGCCAGGTGGGAGCCACAGGTGGAGAAAGCTTTCCATCTTCCCCTTGGGGATGGGACTCTCAGGACAGCACAAATGATGTGGATGTAGGAAACGAGGATGCAGACAAATGGGGTGACCATAATCACAGCTCCCTCCGTGAGAATCATCATCTCATTGAGGTGTGTGTCTGAACAGGAAAGTTTCAGGAGGGGAGTCACATCACAGAAAAAGTGGGGGATGGTATTGTTTGAGCAGAATGAGAGTTGAGCCATGAGTAGGGTGTGCAGGAGAGCATTCAGGCTGGCAATGACCCATGATCCAGCCACCAATAGGCTACAGAGCTGATGGGTCATCTTTGTTGTGTAGTGTAAAGGGTGACATATGGCCACAAATCTATCATAGGCCATCACAGCCAGGAGGAAATTGTCCATGTCAGCAAGTTGAAACAGAAAATACATCTGTGTAAGACACCCAGAGAAGGAGATGGCCTGACTCCTGAATATGTGGTTGACCAGCACCTTGGGGACAGTGGTGGAGGAGAAGCAGACATCCACAAAGGACAGGTTGCAGAGGAAGAAGTACATGGGGGTGTGCAAGCGGGAGTCAGTGCCGATGGCCAGGATGATGAGCAGGTTTCCCAGGACGGTGGCCAGGTACATGATGAGGAAGAGCAGGAAGAGGGGCTGCTGCTGCTGGGGCTGCCTGGAGAGTCCCAGGAGGAGGAACTCAGAGACAAGTGACCGGTTCATGCCTCTCATGGTCTGAGCCCAAGTGAATAGAAGACAGTGAATTCACAACCTAGATGGGGATGGTCATGATGTGATAGGGCTCAGGCAGTGCAAAGTTTACAAATCAGTTCACAGACTTGCTAACACAGGATGTACCCACCTCACCCATATTTCTATTTTCCAGTACTAGGCTTTGATGCTTTTTCTACATGAATCCCTGAGTCCTGACTTGTATATTAAATACTGAAGAACATACAGGCTCTAAGACTAGTTGTGTCTCTACTTAACATTGCTCAGTTCTTGCTCTCTTTGAGCGCTATCCAGCTTCTTAGTGGCTCAGAAAAACACAAAATAAAGTATTTGATTTATCTTTTAAGTGACAACCAATTAATTTTGGACTTTTACTATGATTTCCTGACTCTCTGGAAGAAGTTGCAAGGGAATTACTAAAACAATTTTCACTTCTCAATAAACAGCTGTGTTTCCACGCTGTAACCTTACCTGGCCGGTTGGTGCTGTCCATTGCTGTCCACTTTGACTTAAGTGTCCGGGTCCTCTATCTGCAAGGATTGTGATATCTTGCAAGTATTAGTAATTCCTAAGTGGGTGAGGAGCAAGTATTTAGGGTGTCGGTCTTCTGAGCAGGAAAGATGTTTGGGACAATCACTGAGCAGGCGTTTACAGGAGCCTCTTTGGCCAGTGGGACCAGATTTCCTCAGAGCCTCATTAGCGACAAGAAGAGAACAATTCCCCATCTAGGTCTTTGGCCCCTTTGGACCAAACAATGAGGGCAGGAATATCACCATTTGGGTGAAACTCTTCAGTCAGAACTTAAATATGTCAAATCATTATGGAGGTTTCTCAAAAAATGAAAAATAAGATCCACTGTATAACCCAGTCATACCACTCCTGAATACTTTTCAGAAGACTCCAAGTCAACACAGCACAGAGATACTTGCACACTGATGCTTGTTACAGAATTTTCTTTTTTAAAGTTTTTAAAATTTAATTTAAAAACTTTGTGTGTATATTGCTTGTGTGTGTGTAAGTGCACCTGTATTGTACAATGCCCAAGGAGGTCAGAAAAGGGCATGAGATCTCCTGGAACTGGAGCTACAGATGGTTGTTAGCCACTATATGAGTGCTGGGAACTGAACCCGGGTCCTCTGCAATATCAGTCAGTGCTCTTAACCACTGAGCCATCTCTCCAGCCCCCACAGTACTATTTTTAATAGCTAAATTATAGAAACAACCTAGGTGTCCAGCAACAGAATGTTTTTAATCATAAAGAATTAATTTCAGTGGTAAATTAATCAAAACACATTGTACAAATGTAGCTGAGTGTAGTGACCCATGTCTTTAGTCCTAGCACTCAGGAGGCAGAGGCAGGCATAGTGAAGCCTGTCTTAAAAAAAAAGAAGTCAAGTTATCTCATTTTCAGGAAAATATTCTACTGAAATACTCATATTAGTGAATAACCCAGTCTCAGGAGGACAAAGCAAATGTTTTCTTTCATATGCAGTTTCCAGATTTTATGTAAGTACATAAAATTACATATATTTATGGCATGAAACTAGATGGGAAAATGTTGAGGGTAGCAGACTAACAGGAGGGAGGAGGGGAAGAAGAGGAAAGTGGGAGTATGGGAGGAATTCAGTCAGCATATACTACACACTGGAGTGAAAATGTCTTTGTTTAACACAGCCATATACAATGAATATGTACAATAAACATATTTTAAATTAAGAAATAGGGCAGGACACTTAGAAGTTAAGACCACTTACTGCTCTTACAGAGGACCCAGGTTCAGTTGCCAGCACCCACATCTGAGGTTCACAGTCACCTGTAACTCCATTTCCAGATAACCTGATGACATCTTCTGGTCTCTGAAGGCACCTACCTGCATGCGGTGCACAGACTTACTCAGGCACACACATATACACATAAATAAATTGAGACAGTGCCGTCAGGCCTCAGACCCAGATGACAGCTCAAGGAGGTACTTCCCAAGAGTGACTCAAATGGACCTGGCTGGGTCCCCTGCCCTGCCCACTGGTCTCGCCCATCCTCAGGCTCCCTTGCACCCTGAGAGCACCCTGTGCGGAGGCCTGGGTGACTGAGTGCACAAGAGGCAGAAGATGCACAGTAAGTTCCTATTTGGCTGTGATTCTGTCAGGACTGGCTGCCTGTTTGTCCCTCTTGGCTGCTGGCCCTGTGGGATCTTCCACAAGAGACTCATTGGCAATATGCCCATCTTGGATTGGGCTTGGTGGCTACGCATCAACTCCCCCACCTCTACCTTGTGAGGGATGGGAGAAGGACCTTGGGCACCTGCTTGATAAATGTGAAGTCATAAGGAGGTGGCCTGAACAAACTGCCATGTGGCCTTAAGGAAAGAACCCAGTAGGGAAGCCCTGGCAGATGTGCCTTCCTGGATGGATCAGCCTGCAGCAGATACAGAGGGAAAGTCAGAGAACCTGGCAGCATCCTTGGAAATGAAACATGATCTGAGTGAGGCCAACATGCTTCACAGTGTCCACAAAGTGCTTCCATGTCTGAAGGAATCAACTGAAAGAGATCTGGCTCTGGCAGCTGCCCTAAGCAAGGCTGTGGGGTCTATCCTCTGGTCCTGTGAAAGAGCCCTTGGCTGGGGTGTCCAGTGACATCAGGGAAGTTCTAGGGAGTCTGGCTGGGAAGAGGGATCAGAGTCACAGACAACCATGGAGGACAATGACCCAAAGGAGAGTCCCTGGTGTCAGGGTGGCCAGGCCACACAGAACCGTGAGAAATGGGATTCATAAAGGGTAGAACACCAAGTGCTTTCCCCAGAGCCAGACCCTGACTCAGAACTGCAGTAACCACGTTCCGAGATGTTTCAGCTGCCACATGCCCTTCATGAAGTTCTCCTGAAAGACATGTGTGTGTCATTTAACTATTTAAAACTGGTGTTTTCAAAATAAACAGACTATTAGAAAACTCTTTCAAGCATTAAAATGTGGTCTGCAGATGATCATGGGGTCACTGACTCTACAGTCTTTCAGGTTAGCACATTTCTTATGTCATAGTTAAGGTACAAGCAGAACGATAAAAATACATTAATTTTAAAGGTTATCTTACTCTTGCTTCTTTCCTGTTGGTTTGGCAGCTATTCAGTTCCCACTTTGATTTGTGTGACAAGAAAAACCTTGCTGGTTGGTACAGAGGGAAATTTTTAACCATGTTTTAAATTGTGCTGGAAAGACAGAACTGGGAAAACCCTTTTGGGAAGTCATTGATCTAACCAGTATAATATCAAATGAGATCATAATGATTAAACTCAGAGTTCTTTATATATCTGCTATACCTATTCTAAAGGGCTACCATCCCACACCATCTGTCTTAGCATATCTCTGGACACATGATGGAAGTGGGTATCTGTAAAACCCTCCTGCTTCATTCATGGTGAGCTGTTGCCATTTCTAAATTTTTTTTGGTAAAAAAATGTATTTCATACATTTTTGTGTAAGAACATTTTAATTTTAATCACCCTCCCATAGGCCCCTACCCCACTGGAATTCATACAGTCTGTCATTTGTGTTAAGGCCTATCATGGCAAGTTAGTGTCCCCAGGTGTCTCTCAGTGCAAGTTCATCCACTGGGGTCTAGGCAGCCTATCTAGAGTCCCTCCCTTTAAGAAGATCAGCTCTTCCTCATCTAGCAGTAATTAGCTGCCAATAATTCTTAAACTAAGATTGGGGCTTGATGCCCATTTCCACAGTTGTGCTGGGGTTTTGTCTTCTTGAGTTTGCATAGCTCTTGTGCATGCTGACACCATCGCTGTAGGTTCATGAGAGCAGGGTCCCAGGACCCTGTAAAGAAAGGTGAAATTATGAAATTTGCAGGTAAGTGGGTGGAACTAGAAACTGTTATACTAAGTGAAGTAACACAGATTCTGAAAAAATCAATGACGTATGTTCTCCCTCATTTGTGGATCCTAGCACCAAATACTTTTATGTGAGTATTTATCCTGATATAACTGCAGGAACCAGGAAAATGGAAGATAACCAGGAAGGTGAAGGGAAAGAAAGAACCTAAAAGAGAACAGTAGGAGACAGGTGTTACTAAGGGAGAAATGGCTAAAATAGGGGTAGTTAAATGGAAGGGGAGAGGGAGGGTTATACAAGGAACTATGGGGATAAAAGGGAAAAAGGAGCTCAAGAGAGGTGGGACCATAGCAGACAGGAATTATCAAGGGGAAAATGGGGATACTTCAAAGAGGGAGGAAGTAGAGGGAGGGTTATACAGAAAGAGAGGTTAGATAAATACTGCCTAGCTAGCTGCCGGGTATGGTGGCACACACCTTTAGCCCCAGCACTTGGGAGGCAGAGGCAGGGGGAATCTCTGTGAGTTCAAGACCATCCTGGTCTACATAGTGAGTTCCAGGCCAGCTGGGGCTACAGGGAGACCCTGTCTGAAGAAGACCAATAGTAATAATAATAATAATAATAATAATAATAATAATGCCTAGCTAGTGTAAAAAACCAGAGGGAATCATACTAGTCCAAAAACTTATTGATAAATTACACATACAATATCTCTACATGAGCCTATGTATATGGCTGAAGGTTACATAACAAGAAACAGTGCCAGACAGGAGAAACCTTCCTTTGAGCCTCGGTAGTCCAGAAGATACCCAAAATTACATAGGCTCTTGCCACAGCCCTTGATTTCTGCATTTTATAAAATAATTTTAACCTGCAGGAAAATGTTCTTTTTCACACACCCCTCTTCTACTTGAAATGCAGTTTTAAACAAAGGCAATTTGGTGAAGTTGCAATATTAAATTTAGAATAATCTTTTCAAATTAGGAGTCCTAGTTATGATTCCTTAAATGAAAAAGAAGTCTGAGCTCTTGTTTTCTGTGCATGCTGGAAGATGTAGAGCTTAGCTTCCACTGCTCCTCCTCCAGCCACCTCTGCTGCCATGCCTCCCTGCCAAGACGTGCAGCTGTCCATCCAGTCTGCCTTCACGGTCGTCGCCACTGCCACCCA